ATGCATGAATATAAAACTCAGTGTCCTTGCATGTCACCAATATCAATTAGTCTGCATCAATATTCATGGGCCACTCTCACAGAGGTAATCAGTGAAGTCGGGCTAAAAGGGGCCTATTTCTTGCTTTGGTACTATTTCTCCATCCCTACGGACATCCTATTATTCTCTTTTTATTGTTTTAGCCTATCATGGATGATTTCTGATTTGTTCTAAATTCTAAAATAGGTTGTCTCCATATCTTTCCTAACTGTTTTAAAGATTTTTTTGGTCTATGTTTACATATTATAGTAGCATTGCTCTTTTATTCTGGGCTTCTCTTAGGCAGGGCTTTTCAACCAGTGGTACGGGTACCACCTGTGATACATTGGCACCTGGCAGGTAGTAACGAGCATCCTAGAAAAGTGATAGTGGGGGAGGGGAATGAGCTGGTGGCAGCACCGCACAAGCCTAAGCGAGAGATGGCTGGAGCTGCAGGGCTATCAGGGTTCAGCAGAAGCGCCAGGATCAGCACCAGGCTCCAGCTGGAACTCAGTGCAGATCCTGGTGCTTCTGCTGAACCCTGAAGAAGCACCAATCAGCTGGAAAGCAGCACTGATCCTGGTGCTTCTGCTGAGCCCAGAAGAAGCACCGATCAGCTGGAATGTTGCAGCATCTCCAGGGTCTTGTGATTTACATTCAGATGCTTGGCAACTGATTCATATTTATGACAGTCACAGTGTCCCAGGGTCATGTGAAGTGACCAAAACCTGCTGCAACCACCCAACAGAGGGGGAAATAAAAACCAAACACCCTCCCACCCCACCCCCGCTGCCAATCCTCAACAGAAATGCTCACAACAATGAAAACCTCAGACAGGAAGAAGAGCGCCACCTGGTGGGCAGGCAGGTGTCTTGCTTGGCTATGGCTTGGGGGGCACTTTTTTCAGTGCCATTGTAACTTCAAACAGTCACTAAGCAAACTGTTGTAAGTCGAGGACTACCTGTACTTTATCATTATTATTTTTTTTGGTCATCAAGTTTTTTACACCTTGCTGGTGTGAAATGTTGCCATATCCTAAAAGTGATACAATGGGTGAAAAGGTTGAAAAGCCCTGCTCTTAGGAACCAATGACACTGCAGGGAATTGTACTGGACAAGATCCTTTTTGGAAACTTGTCCACAATATTGGATGTGCCACTTTCCAATTTATTTCTCCTCTCCTCCCACCTAGTACTGCTTTTCTCTTTTCCTTTACACAACCGTTTCTGGATGTTCTCCTTCCATTCTGATATCTGACAGCACTGGAATATTAAGCCTGTATTTTGGCAAATAAATCTGAAAACAGCCAACCATTTCAGCCATTGAGTATTTTTAATGGCTCTGAATTTGGAGGACTTTTGCATTGTGGGTCCTAGGATATTCGTCTATGGTCCAACAGGTCAAAAAACAGACTTAAATTAAATGAACTCTGTCACTGATTTTCAGATTCTGTCCAGGTTTTCCCAAACTAATTTGGAGATGCTAAGGATGGACCCTTCAGATGCCTAGAATTTCTATATTTTACAATTGCACAATTGTAAAAGTCAAGAAATTGACTTACACTCTACCTTCCAGGGTAGGAAGGCTTTAAGCCTATCAAATATATATTTTTTGTTAGACCCTCCAGCCAAAACCAGTTATAGAACATTATCTATTTGGAATTAAAGAACAGGCAGTTAGGTCTCAACACAAGCCTATGTTATTGCTTTGCACTATCATTGACTTGAGCTCACACTTTTTTTCACATAAAATTAGTTTATAGGACCAAGTTATTAAGTGGTTTTCCCCCCAAGGAGAATTTGTGTTGAAAATATTCCTTGCTGATTTCACATATAGAATTAACCACTTGTTAAATGGTTCAGTAAACTATAGTTGATCTAGTTTACACACAATATAATTACCTCAAATTAGCCATTACAATTTTAGTCTAGCATATTCTAATGATCGAATTTATATGTATATGACTGTGTGTTATGTATACCAAAAACTGGAATCAATAAACTACTGTTAACTTTATCATGAATTAGTATCTTATGTGACTATAACCATAGTTTTCTATTATTCCTGTCAAATAACTGGAAATCAGAAACTTCACTAGTATACTAGAACTACCCAGAAATTTATTGGCAGTTTACTTTTTGAAGTTGTCCAGAGTTTCAGGTAGGAATCATTCCCAGTCCTATCCGATGACACCCGAGATTGAACTGTTCTTCTGTTTTCACACAACATACCATACAAAACATAGACTATGATTCTGAAAGAAGAAAGAAAGGAAAGTTTGCGTTGATAAACTATGAAAAAGAAACTAATCGGAAAGATTCCTGTACTAACAGCTATCATTACCAATTGGACAGCCTCCTCTTCCGAACTACATTTCCCAATGTCCTTTGGTGGATCTTGAGAGGTTCCCGGAAGTTGTTCTGAGAATTCGTCTATGTCAGAAAGATCCGGTGTCCTCTTTTTGGTAAGCTTTTCTGCGTTATTTGTTTTCCCCGGATTAGACTCTTGGCTGTGTGGCCACGTCCTCTTGCGCCCTGATATAGAAACTTTAGTTTATGCCGCTTAAATAGTGTAGTACTGGTTATCTGGTATTCTCCACGTGTTGACTGCAACTTCTACGCTTCTCATCCGAATCTCCCGTTCTATGGCACTCCTAGTCCAACACCGTTTACCACTCAGAGTGGCTGGGAGTCGAGCGGCATGTACATTAAATAAATTATTAGTTAGCACCACATTTGGTGGCTAGTTTATTTTTTTTACCCCGAATGATTGATAAATACCAGAATCAGGTAAAATCAGTAAAAGGAGAGCAGTAAGTCCTAGCAGACAGTTATTTCTGCTTTTCCTGCTGTTTAAGCCAACTTATTACAAAAGCTTCAAACTAATTGCATCAGAATTTACGATATAACTTATTATCGTAGACTTAATTGAATTTAAATATCAATGGAGAATTTAAATATCATTTTAAGTAAAATACTATAAAAGCCTATAATTCATATTATACCTGTTTGTGAATTTAATAGTTTAATTCTAGACCTGTTCATAGTGTTCCATTTCACAGCTCAAGACACAACTATGTTAGAGCATAGTTGTGCTCTAACAAAGCTAGTTATACTAGCTTTTCTAGTATAAATTTACCCAAGTTCCAAAACAGTGATACACCTTCTGCTTTCCAGACAGCGCTCACTTATAAGATTTAATTGATCCAGTCACTGTGACCAGCTGTTAGCAAGATTTGGAATGACACAGGTTTCTCACTTCTGCCTTGAGATCTTTCACTGAGAATTTCAAATGATACTAAATGGATGGCAATAAGAGTCAGGATTTTCACATTTCCCACAGATACTGTATGGAACTACTTTCCTAAACTACTTGTCTAATGATGCTTCTTTCTCTTTTCACGGTTGGCTTAAAATATTTTTTTGAACAAATTTTTGTCTGTTTTAAAATACTAAAGTAGCATTTTTTACTTTTATTATTTGATAATGCATTAATAACATTAGTTTGTTTAAATCACTTTAAAAGCCATATTGGAATAAAGATGCAGAGAGAGCCAGTTATGTAGTGGCTAAATGCTGGACTGTTAATAGATCTAGCTTCTAGTCCTCCCCTAGGCATAGCAACCAGCTGAATGATTTTGGGCCAGTCATCTCTCAGCCTAAGTAACAATGACAAATTGGCTGAAAAACAAAACTATATGTCACACCATGCATGTGTCACACCAAGAACTAGGCAAGCTCAATGTAAAACAAGTGCATCCTGCAGATAACTGGGACAAATATTAAGAACAAAGATGAATGCAGGAATTGGGGTGGGTGGATGGTAGAAATAAGTTGAAAAGTAATCAAGTTGTGTAAATTCTGCTTAGTTTGGGGGCTGGTGAAAGACTAGGGATTTGAGCACTATTTAAAGCCACACCATGGCAGCAATAGCTATTCAAGTAATATTTTGATAAAGAACAGATCTATTATTAATATTTTCTGACTATTATTTTCTTTTTTAACTTTTCTTTTATAGTTTGGTGTAGTAATTAAGATACTGGCCTTGAAAAGGGAGAGGGTGTCCCATCTTAGTCAGGAAAGCCGATTTGGTGACTTTGGGCCATTCATTCTTTCTCAGCCCAAGTGCAGTCACATAGGGTCATTATTGTGTGGAAAATAGGAGGAGGAAGGAATACTGTATTAGGTATGTTCACCACTTTGAAGTATTTATAAAAATAAAGGTAGGATAAAAATAAATAAAAATAGTTTTAATAGTTCTAATATATTTTTTAATAATTATCATATAATGGTTTCAGATAATGACTGTTTTATATTACTGTTTTACTGGATTCTTGTATGCACAAGTCACTTTTCATGAGATGAGCAGCTATATAAATTTGATTACTAAATAAAAGTTAAATTTATAGGGTAGGCACATGAATACTGCTATATTAAATGAGAGATAATAACTTTTGGCTGTTCATTACAAAAAGATTAAATAGAACTGTTTAAAATAAAGGGGAAAGAACAGGTCTTGCATGGTTTATATAACTTTTGGTTTCTCCTTATTTCTGCAATATCCTAATTCTACCTTGGAAATGTGCAGCTTTCAAGCAGTGCTTTTTAGCCGTAGCAATTTTCAGGTAGTGTATGTGGACTTCAGCTTCAGAATTCCACAATCAATATGGCCATTGATAGTAATTATGGAAACTGAAACCACATACCTAGAAATTTTGAAGGCTGGTTCAGAGGACTATGACTAATGAAGTCATAATCGCTAATGACTGTGAGTATGAAGAAGTTCCCATCTATGGAATTAAAATAATAAATTATCAGGCAGTGATTACACTTTGTATTGTTAACTGCTCCATAGTAATGCATGGAACAGCTATTGAAACACTGGAGAAATTGACTTGTTATTGACTTAACACATTTAAGCTAATGAGCTATCTTTCAAACAGGAATGAAGCCTGAATTGATTTCTTCAATTTCCACTCTCTAACCTATTACCCTGGCCACAGCCTCAAGGAAATCTGTTTTACATTTGGCAACTTTCATCAGGAAGCCTTTGCTAACTGGTAAGCATTATGCATTCTCTGTGTTACTAGCTAATTGGATACCAGAATACTGCTTCTTTATGGGCAGGAGAGTAGTGACCTTACATTTACAAATCAACAGCCCATTCCAATCTTTCTGAAAAATGAACATTGGCCATCTGATAAACCTCCATGTGGTGGCCTTCCTTTGCTCAAGAGACAAGACGTTACCTCCATAAAACTACGTTACTTGACTTGGGTAGGAACAGAAAGAATTTACTTTAACATAAATTTGATTAAGTCCTTTTCTGTATAGTAGTAGTATTCAGTTTATGCAAGAAGAAACAGTTCTACTATTTTTCTGATCTTTGCTTAGTTGTCAGTGTCTTTACAGGCAGTCCTTGACTTATGACCACTGATTTAACAACTGTTTGAAACTATGACAGTACTAAAAGAAGTGATTTACAACCAGTCCATCACAATCTCCCTGTGGTCACATGATCAACATTTGGGCATTTGGCAACTGGCATATATTTATGAAGCTTTCAATGTCCCATGGTTACACGATTACCATTTGCAACTTTTCCATGGGATTTCCACAAGTAAAATCAATAGGAGAAAGCCAGATTTGCTTAATGACTGTGTGATTCTCTAAATGATCACAGGTAAAAAGGTAAAATTAGGTATGATTCATTTATCAAACACTTTGCTTAGTGACAGAATTTCCAGTCCTAATTGTGATTGTAAGCTGAGGACTACCTATATTCATGGATAAGGAAATATAATGGCATTTTGGGTGATAAGAAATATAAATTCTCAGAACTACATCAGTAAAGAAGAACAAATAATGCAGCTTCAGTGGCAGCTGTTAGGTATAGCAGATGAACAGAAAAAGAGCCTTGTTGGTCTTTCTTTTTTTCAAAATATAGAGCTCAGTACTAATGAGTGCTATTGAATGACATACACTTAGATTCCCAATGTGTGTCATTTGTGTAGTCTTGCCTTAAATGTCCATGAACACGTACATCCCTTTCCCACCTCACCCTTTTTCTGTATGTTTAAATCAGCCCTCCTCTACTTGATGTCTCCAGTTCCCATTATCCCAAGGTACCAAAGTTGAGGATTATGAGAATTCCAATCCAAAATATTGGAGAACACCAAGTTTGATAAAATTGCCCTATAGAAGTCCTTTTTCTTTTTCTTTTGAAGCTGTAATTTGATTTACAATTTTTGTATAGTGAAACAACTGGATTTATGCCAGAATTAAAACCCCTAAATTTATCATCAATTCCTAGATTAGCACTACAATGTATAATCTTTGTGGTATTTTCATTCCCAGTGTTAAAAGAGACTGACAATCTAGTGTGTAATACTATTTAGCTCCTGTATTTGCAGATGCAGCCGTATTTCATGCCTGCCCCAAATCTACGTATTCACCACTTCCTGATGACTATAACTGGTTAAGTATTAACTATTCTATATGTTATCACTATTAATTTACCATGCTAACATTTGTAATAAATGGGCTGGTAATTGAGCATCGTAAGTGTGCCATCACAATATCCCCAGTACACTGCAACTCCCTTGTCTTATGTGTGGGTTGAAGACAAATGCAAAAACTGGTGTGTGCCTTTGTTTTAAACTAACCAGCCTGATATATTGATTAGGTTTAATTAATAATATATATTACTTTAATTTCTAAACAGGTAAGAATAGCAGCTTTTTCATAAAGGTTATTTAAATTGTGAAATAACTATTCACTAGGACTGCAAATCCTGCAGAAGAGTTATTCATAATATGTGGAAGAGCATACAAAGGACCTGTCTTTTTTGGTTCTGTAAACTGCTTCCAGCTGTTTCTATATGTACATTGTTCTTTAATTATGAAAGAGAAGTGCTATATGCAGTGTTTCTAGAAGTTGGTTTACAAAGAAATTGTCTAGCCTTTCTGCAAATTTATATATTAGGGGTAGAATGTAAGCAGATCTGATAGAGCCAGTATGGTCCACTTTTCAAGCTAACATACTATTATCATATCCCCTGAACTGAAATATATTTTATTCTGAGGCAACTTAGAATGTTGGGGAAAATTGGCTAGAAAACTGACACAAGTGCCAAAAAATCTTGAATAATCCTTCAAATGTTTTATACAACGTTTGATCTCCATTTTTAATTCTATTACTGTAGAAGTACTTTCACTAATTACTTTTCAACAAAAATATTGAATTTTCTTCTTGTTCTTTGTGTTATTTCCATTATATTGCAGGGTACACAATTTTGCATTTCACTCACCACTTCAGTCTGCAGCATCAGCAAGGCATATGCCTATGGCTGTCATGTCTTCACGCAGGCATTTCATCCATCCAACAGAAATATTGAATATGGCTGTTTAAAAATTTGTTATTTTATCTTTAGAGTACAAACAGCATTTATGTATGTACACATTTAGCTCCTATGCAGCTTATGTATTGCATGCTTGCTTGTTTTTTTTACCTTTATTAAAATATGTTATTGAATATATTTTGGCAACTTCTAGTCTTGTTAGTGTCTGTTAGTTAAATATTTTATAGCTTATGAGCATCATTCAAAATAATTACTGTTTAATATATTTTCCTTAAATTTTAATTAAAGTATTATCTCCAATGCCATCATTTTAAAAATGGTAGGAATATTGACATCTGCTTTATTTTTTAGCAAAGTTGAACTTGCTATGACATCAGATGGAAAGACAATTGTTTGCTATCACCCTTCAGTGGACATTCCGTATGAGCACACAAAAGTAAGTTACTGAAAATTGCATCTTCCTGAAATTTGTTACTAGTCCTAGGTAATCTTCCTCATATATATGTTGCTGGGTGTTATCCCTTAATAAGAATGTGATTTACAAGATAAGATCATAAAAGGTAAATAAATACAGGAGGTAGCAGAATTACATTACTGGATGACCTCAGATACTTTGAGCTACCTTCAAATAAAGGACATAAATACATTCAGGTCACATAGTGGGAAAATGATGCTCTGGAATTGGTAATATAAGTACTATTTAAAAGAAGGATAGTATTGGCGTTAATCTTAAATATTGTTTAAGATCATTTTAAAAGGTGCAAATGCTTTCATTGATTATGGATTACCTTGAGTACAGTTGTAAATGATAAGTTGTAGTTTGTTCCTTCTTTAAAGTTTGGAGTCAGTTATGCTAATATTGATTGGAATACCATTTAAAGAATAATATTTTTATTTCATACACAATTATCTTATGAATTCAGTGCCACAAAATATGTAATTATTGACTCCCATAGATTAAAGGGAGTAGGCAAAGAGAATAAGCAAGTCTTCCAGATTTAAAAGCAGCATATTATGGCTGCCCATTGTTGGAAACAGGATGCTAGGCTAGCTATAAACACTAAGAAAAGTTTTATAAAAAGCCCTTCTAGTAAGGTCTTACTAGAAAGGCTTTTTACAAAACTTTTCTTGGTGAATATTAGTGCTAATAATTTTGCTGTCTTGCATTCCTAGCCTCTGTTAACTGTACTACAGTGAAATAGTGCCAGCTCATCTGGATGTGCAGTGTTAGTAAATGGAATCTTTTTGGAGAAATAGACTTTTAGTTCTATTTCATAATTTGTATGATATGTACTTTGACAGCCCATTCCACAACTAGACCCAGTGACCTATAAAGAAGAAACACATGAACAAGTCCTGAAATCTAAATTAGAAGAAACAGAAGTCTACAAGAATGAGCCCACAATTGAGACACTTAGTAAAATGTTTTACACAACCAAACATCGCTGGTATCCTGTGGGACAGTAAGTATTTATGAAGGTATCAATTGTCAAATCAAAATGGAATGTAATTACAATACTTCAAGTTCTTTCTTGGTGCATTTATTGACTGATTAGGATTCAAGGATTCAACCCTTAGGTTTATACCTTCTTTGAAAATGATGGAGAAGAAGTGTTTGGAATTTGCATAAGCAGAGCATTTCTCTGCTATTCATTAAGACAGGCAGATTTTTTTTTCGTTTTTCTTTTTTTTTTTTTTTTTTTGTAAAAATTTTTATTTTCAACTTTACAATACATAACAATCTTACAAATACTTCAGATAAAAAATAAAACAAATTGATATACACCACATTCGGTCTTGCCCGCCCATTTCCCCCCAAACCGCATCCCACCTCAAACCAACTTACTTCTTTCCCTCTTTTTCTTCATTCACCCCCTCTCCTCCTTCACCTCAACCTTCCTACTTACTTCTCACCTTCTTCTCCTCCCTCTTGATGCAGTCTAGGGGAAATGCCCGAGCAGTTCCTCTCTCAAAATTAAAACAATATTATATACAATAAGACTATTTCTACTTTATCTGAACTACTTAAACTTCAACCCATCCACCCCCCTCTCCCCACCCCCTCCCCCCCGACTTCCCAGAGCAAAATACAGGATTATGCAAACATATTAAACATAATCTATTTAAGTTTACTAATTATACAATGAACAAAATCATAAAAACCCTTAACTCTCTTCAAACTTTAACATCATAAGTTTATAAACAAAATCATTATCATTTTTCTGTGTGAACCTGAAAAACCCACAGCACTCGTGCACTTACAGTTCCTCACATTTCTGACCCTCTGGTTACCCTATGGGTACATTAAGGAGGTTGAATGAGCTTCCATGGTGAATCTGAACTTAGATTTCTATGGTCTTAGTCCAGCACCTTAACCACTGCACCAAAATTGAAAATAACTGCACATGCATCTTGGATGAAAAGTATGTTACATTGGATCAAGAAATGTTCTTACCAAATGTCTAAATACTGGAAGAATTTGGGAACATCTTATTGCGAGCAGATATCAGCAATACCTCTAACATTTAGATTCAAGAGTTAATAAACTGTTTTTAGAAATTAAACCATGCCATTCAAAGATTTTTTTTTAAAAGGTGCAAAATTATTTGCCATTACTAAAGCAGTGTACCTTTCTTTGGATTCAGAAAGTCCAACTACTGTTCAGCATTTTCTAAAATATAGGAGGACTATGTCATGCAAATATTTTGCTTTTTATTTTCAGGTCTTGGAACTCTCTTAGGAATGTGATAAGTGAAAATGTGCATGCAGTTGTGCTTTTCTTCCTAAGAATTACTTTTGCCTAGGAATAGTTTCACTAGCAAATTTTGTGAGAAATATATTCTGGAGAACTTTTAGTTTTACATCTCTATTTTTCAAGCTTGGAACTAAGAACAAGTATTTATGATTGATTGCTTAATGGAGCATTTTGTTCCATAGCCACTAGGCCAATAAATTCCTGACAATGAAATTGCTTCCCAGTGGAAGTAGTGAAAAAGTATCACATGACTGGGGCCTGTACTTCTTTGGGAAGTTGGTATGCCTGTAGCCCAGTTGATTGCACATGAGATGCATTCTAAATGTCTTGGTGTCAATCAAATGCTCATAAAGGAGTATACAGCTTTGGATAAGACACAATTTGAGGAAGTTTCAGGGGTGTCATTGATTTCTATTAGGTGTAAGAAAGATCAAGGTGTTGAATAGGATGTATTCATTAATGTACTTTTATGCTTAGAATGATCAAGCTTCCTTTCAGACCCTCAGAACTAAGAAATACGTGGTGATTCATCCAGCAGATTTTTTTATTATTCATTACCTCTAGACAGAATCTTGCCAAACTAAACACTGTGCTATTCAATCCTATACTCAGGGAACTATTAGGGAAGGGCTCTCTTCACTCTCTTTCTCTCACACAAACTATCTGAATTGAGCTTTCTCTTACTCCTCTGGAATGTATACCCTCCCTTCTAGGAATCTGGATCAGTACAATTTACTACTATTCCCTTAGAATATGGTCCCACAGATTTTTTTTTAAAAAAGAAATAATATTGACATGGAAGTCTAACTTTAGCAACATAAGCAGAAAGACAGATAACAGAATTCCATTGTCTAGAAAGTCTAGAAATAACTAGGAAAATCTTGTTTCTTTTTTCCCACCAGACATTTCAGTGAAAGTGGGAATAGTGCTGGGTATGCTTTGGTGAACCTCTGCCCTTACGAATGTTCCAAGCAGGGTTCAGATTTTAAAAATATGTTGAATTCTTCTACAGCTGGGAGTTACTTTTGCCCTTGAGCCAAAACAGTAGATTTGTTGCATGATGAAAGAAACTGCACAAAAAAATGTTTAATTAGTGGATAAATAGAACATGTCTTTACTGTCTTCCTTTATAAAGATAATGTTTTCAAACATAATAACATTCTTAATCTCTTAAAAAACAAGTATTTAAATTATTTGGTGTCTGAGATACAAGCTTAATATATCTTCTGGTGTTTTTTTTTTTTTTTTTTTTCATTTAGGTATCACACTAGACGCAAGAAAACTAATACTCCCAAAGACCGATGAAATTACATTTGTCTTTATCATCATGGAAAACCACTTTCTATAGATGGAGGATTCATTTCTAACTAAAACCTTGTCAATTTCTCTAGATAATTTATAGAATCTTGGGATTCTGATTTATAAAATCTAAGGATATGCAAAAGAAAAGTTATATTCCCAAATATTGCTAGTTTAGTTGAATTGGTATGTGAACCACCAGAGGGCACCACTGTACAAGAATTCAGATTTACTACACTTTGGGGAAGGGGGGAATATGTGGCTGTGGGCATATGAGAGTGCATGTTAACAATATGCAGCCAAAACTAGAAATAAAAACTAAATAATAAACTTTATGAAAAGTATCTTGAGGACCTTCATTTCTTGTTACCCAATAGAAAAAATGTTGTGTCTCTATGAAAATAATGACCAGATTTTCCATTTCAGAAATTTTAGTAAAGATTGTCAGAATCAAAATGACAGAAAAAATGTACAGTATCAGTGTAGCCTGCTTTGGGGCACCAAATTAGTGTAAATTACACCAAATTAGTGTAAAAATTAATATAAATTAAAAGAATAGAAAGTAAAAGCCCTTTATTCTCCCTTTTTAAGAGATTCTTCAAAACTTTAAGAAGCCTCTTTTGTAAATTCAATATAGGAAAATTAACTATATTGGCTTATTGTTTCTATTTTGATTTATTGTTTCTATATCCCTTTTAATTATTAAAACAGCTGGTTACTTTTATATATCTAATGTAATATCTCTTTACATGTTGTTCTTGTAGCCCATCATTTGTAAATCCACTTTCAACTCTGTCAGGCAGAACTTGTTCCTCCTCCATAACCTTATTTAGGTACAGCCACTCCATAGAGGCAGATGTTTCTGTTGACACTATCAACATCGGAACCCTTTTTTTTTTAAAAAAAAAAAAAATACTTTCAATATGTCCAGCGTTAGAATATTTTCTTCCATTCTGTAATTCTACAGTCAATTTCATGCCTTCTTTTCATTATAATCGTGTTCCCTCGTGCCCAATTTTTAAAATTTTATTTATTTTTTTAGAAAATCAGGCATTTTTCCACAGGAAATTCTTTATAATTAATTCCAAAATCTTATTTCAAATTTATCTGGACCCTTAGTCCATTAGTAACTTTCTAATATCAAACTGTAATCACTCTTTTCCTACTTTTTCCCAAAAAAGTTTTTTTAAGTTCTCAAATTAGTAGCTAAAACTTTCTTTTGCTAAGGACTGAAGGTAATTAACTCACTGCATACTATCAAAATCATTAATACAAAGACTTAAAATAGCTGAAAAACAGTTAACAAACAATTTATGAAAGTCTAATTTAAAAGTATGCAAACTTAGTATCTTTTCGAAGATGCCAAACCCAGTTTGAGTAAATTAACTATTCCTTCATCTCCCAGATTTGAGTGATCTCAAATCCTTTCCTTGTCTTGGGCACAGTTGTTAAGTGAATCACTGCAGTGGATAAGTTAGTAACCCAGTTGTTAAGTGACTCTGGCTTCCCCATTGACTTTGCTTGTCAGAAGATCACAGAAAGTGATCACATGACCCTGGGATGTTGCAACCATCATAAATATGAACCAGTTGCCAAGCATCCAAATTTTGATCACGTGACCATGGGGATGCTGCAACAGTCGTAAGTGTGAAAAATGGTCATATGTCACTTTTTTCAGAGAGTTATAACTTTGAACGGTCACTAAACGAACTGTTGTAAATCAAGGACTACTTGTACAGGAAATTGCAAGAGAGATGTTTGTCCTTCAAACAACTCTTGAACTCCAGTGGCCTTGCAAGCATTTCTCATGCCCAGAGGGAGGAAGTGCCAGAAATCTGGTGGCAGGAGAAAACACAAAACTATTTCTGAGAAAGAAATGGTCTGACTTTCAAACACACTTTTCAGGATCTTGGAGCATGTGGAATACTTACCCAGACATCTGCTCCATTAAATTTGGTGCAGTTTGCTTTGGGGCAGACATCTATTTGACTGTCATATGAAAGAAGGATGGGCACAATTGTGGATTCCACACCCACTTTCAACTACCTCTACTTTGTTCCAGCTTTGAGTGCACATGTGATACTATACCAGGACTGAAGAAGCTTCTTAGATGAAAAGTAAAATGTCTTCAAGGAAAAAAAAAACCCAAGAAAGTCTAGTTGTCTTCTGAAAAGCACCTTTGGGACAACTGTGATCTGGATGACTAAGAATCTCCATAGATATTTTACTATACCAGGAGTCTCCAAAGGGTACAAGAAGCATTCTGATTAAAATGCCCCAATTAGCAGTAATTTTACCTATAGCATGATTTCAAAGTTGACTTTTCCTGAGCAGTTTTAATATTTCTAAACTAAAAATTGGCTTGAGGTCATCAGTTTTTACTTTCTAATCAAGCTCATGAAGCTGATTTAGGGCTCATATATTCTTGAAAGTAAAGGTGATCATAGAGATTGGGGCTAAGCTTTGCAGTATGTCAGATTGGCTTTTTAGAAAAATTAAAAATATAATAAGTTGATACAGAGCCTTGTGGCCTTAAGAGTCATGTTGTAAATTCCAGAATTAACTTGTAAACCATGGTTCAAACCATGTGGTTAAAAGGTTGTAAACCTTTCGAATTTTCAAAATTTCTGTATCAAATATTACCTAATATTGATCTGATCTTACATGATCTGTCTTCCAGTTACAGTAGTTAAATGCAACAAAAGTATTACAATAGTTTATTTATAAGAACATGTCACATTTTAATATTCAAAAAGGCTACAAACTTTTAAACACCACTGTACCATGCTAAGCCCATGCTGAATTATCTATGTGATCTGAATTATCAGAATTGTGTGAAAAGAGGCTCTGATTAAAAAGCGGACTGAGCAATAAGAAGTGTGAGAAAAGAGTAAAAGTGCCTCTCAGTCCAGCAGTCCAGCATCTGGCAGCTGTTTTTCATTAAACAAAAATATAGGGAGACGGTTATGTAACTTCTTACTTGACTGTCTCTTAACTCCTAACTTAGTAGCATGAAGTCTCAAAATAGCTTATATACCAAGCAACTGTCAAAACACAAAAGTTATTACATAATCATTATAAGATGATCCTTGCATAACACCTGTGCCAACAAGGAAAAGAAAGCAAAGCCAGGAAAACAAAATGCTGAAGTCATGGACGTGGAACATCCATCATCAACAAGAAATATACTTTGCCAACCTCTTTCAGTCAAAAGCTATTTGCACTCTTACACTAACACAGAAAGACTCTTTTGAATAATCTGATTTTGCAAACTAAAAAAAAAACCCCATGGAAAAAAACCCTAGCTCTTTAGTACAAGTTTTCCTGGAAAATAAGAGAAATCTAAACCCATGCAGCTGGAGTTACTAAAAGCATAATTCAATGGCAGAGAATGTAATTGAGTGCAACAGATTCCAAGAGCAGTCCCTGCTGAGAGATGAGAATCCCCTCCGGAATGCAGAAGAACTGCTGCTATTCAATGTTTGACTTTTTTCATTGTGTTAATCCATAATGTATTATGTGAACATAGTCATTGCTTAAGTATACATACAATCGTTACTGCAGCATGTGTGAACTTACCGCAGTCAATTCTGCAGACTATAACAGCTTCACTCCTCTTGTCCCTATCTGAACTGATGTACAGTAAGTGATAAACCCTGCAGCAGATTTGGCAAAAGAACTTTTAATCTCCTATGTATTTATCTGGGAGCCAATTGAACCAATTTACCCATCTTTAAGAAATCAAATATAAAATTGGATTCTGTCTTTTAGAAGGGGAAATAATATAGTCATCAAAGGAAATTCTGTCATTTGTTCTAAATGTATTTAATTTTTAAGAGTGCACTAAAATACTAGTTTTTCTTACATTAAATTATTATAAAGATAAATGAAACAAACAGTAGCCTTTCTTTATATACCAGAATGCATACAAATATGTAAAAGGCTTAGCAAATCTTCTCAGTTTCATTTTCTGAAGCATATTTACAATCGTTTGCCATAATTTGCAAGAAGCTTAAACCTGATTTTCCTGTTTCTCAATCCAGAGAAAAGACTGTTTAAGAGGAAGACGAGATGTAAATAAAATGAAATCACTTCTATGCTGTAATTAGCTAGGAAGAATTGGAGATACAGTAGTAATGCAGTTCTTGATACAAACATGCATTATTTGTGTGTCTGTATGGATTATTTATCCATGGATTAAATAAAAATTCATCTGAACATACTATGTGCTAAATTCTCCCTGAAAAAGTAAGCTTACACGGGATGTGTCGGTTGTTCCTACGCATGGAATGCCTGTTGCTACTGAAGGCTGGGGTATCATAAGCTATTGTATTTGGATAGGAAACAAATAACATCAATAATCCACAATTTACATATTAGATTACTGAAACGTGTCCAGTGAAGAGCTGCTTTTCAAGATGATTTGTGAACAAAAATTAGTTGAAGATCCATATAAGCATTTTACAATTGCACAAGTTCTTCATTATGGCTGAATTGGTAGCAGCACATAGCTAATCTTGACTGAGTCCTATTCTCCTGCAAAAAAAATGTAAGCAGAATCAGTATTTGAACTGGAGACTGTTAGGCAAAAACAAAAAAGCAAAACAAAAAAGCATCCTGGAAAAAAAACCATAGCAAACATTTTCCATATTACAGTTAAGAAGATTACATAGATATGTGCAGCTGGAGGGAATTTATTTTATTTTCTCATTGCAAAGTATGGGGCTCTTCCCCCGTGTCTTTCACAATCAGTATCATTGATTACTCTGATAAGTTCAAAACTGCAAAATCCTAATGCAAAATAAAGGAGATTGGAGAAAAAAGATCAGCAAAACCCAACACTTTCAAAGTTTTTTTTTGAAGTTTTCATTTGCTAAATATTTCAGCTTAGTTTATTTATATTCCCTTCTGATTGGGAAAGTCCCTGAAAAAAAACCCACAAAAACAACCCTTCTTAGGTCTACCTATGAAAATTTTTTAGCTGCTACTACTGTAATCTATTTCTAAAGTCAGTGAATTCACAAGGTGAGCAGGGGTCTTTTTTCCTTCTAACTTACCCAACTTCACCATATTTTAAATTAGCACAAAAACTAATTCCAATCTGCATGGGTGCCGTTATGTAAAACTTGGATCTCAAGAACTATGTTGGCTCAAATGGGGAGGGAGTGGCACGCAATACACATCCTGAATTCTCAGAATTGCTCAATTTCTGCCTGAATTCTTAGAATTGCTACTTTAAAAAATAAAAAAGAACTTTCCATCTAGTTGTCAGATATGTATAAAACTCTTATGGAAATATATACTAAACTAAACCAAATATAAAAGTAAGTAGGAACTCATTAAT